GCTAAAAAACTTAATATTATTTTTGCATATACAGGCATATCTTATTTTACTGTACTTTATTGGATTTAGAAGACATTGTGTGTGTATGCATGTTTAACACATTAAAGTTTTGTGGCAATCGATGTCGAGCAAGTTATTGGTGCCATTTTCCCAATAGCATGTGCTCACTTTGCATCTCTGTGTCACACTTGGGTAATTCTTGTAATATTTCAAACTTTTATTACATTTCTTATGGTGATCTGTGATCAGTGATCTTTTGATGTTTCTACTGTAATTGTTTTGGGGTTCCATGGACTGTACCCAAGATGGCAAGCTTAATGGATAAATGTTGTGTGTTGTGACTGCATTACTGACCAGCTGCTACCCCATCTCACTCCCTCTTCTTGAGCTCCCCCCATTCCTTGAGACACAACAACATTGAAATTAGGCCAATTGGTAACCCTGCAATAACCCCTAAGTGTTCAAGTGAAAGGAAAAGTCATATATCTTTCACTTCAAATCAAAAGCTATAAATAATTATGCTTGGCGAGTCAGGCATGTCAAAAACTGAGATGGGCTGGAAGCTAGGCCTCTTGAGCCAGTTAGCCAAGTTGTGAAAGCAAAGGAAAAATTCCAGAAGGAAATTAAAATGTTATTCCAGTTAATATACAAATGATAAGAAAGCCAAACAGCCTTACTGCTGATTTGGAGAAAGTTTGAGTGGTCTGGGTGGAAGATCAAGCCAGTTACCGTATTCCCTAAAGCTAAAGCCTAACCCACAGCAAGGGCCTAACTCTTCAATTCTATGAAGGCTGAGAGAGGTAAGAAAGCTGTAGAAGCTAGAGAAGGTTGGTTCATGAGGCTTAAGGAAAGAAGCTGTCTCCATAACATATAAGTACAAGTTGTAGCAGCAAGTGCTGATGTAGAAACTACAGCAAGTGATCCAGAAGATCTGGCTAAGATCACTGATGAAGGCAGCCATATTAAACTACAGATTTTCAATGTAGACGACACAGCCTCCTATTGAAAGAAGATGTCATCTACGACTTTCCAAGCTAGAGAGGAGAAGTCAATGCCTAGCTTTAAAGCTTCAAAGGACAGACTGACTCTTGTTAGGGGCTAATGGAGCCAGTAACTTTACATTGAAGCCAAGGCTCATATACGATTCTGAAAATCCTAAGGCCCTTAAAGAATTATGCTAAATCTGCTTGTGCTGCATAAATGTTACAACAAAGCCTGGATTTTTACAGCATGGCTTACTGAATGTTGAGTCCACTGTTGAGGTCTACTGCTCAGAAAAAAAGATTCTTTGAGAAATATTACTGCTCTTTGACAATGCACCTGGTCACCCTAGAGCTCTGATGAGATGTATAAGGAGATGGGTGTTGTTTTCCTGCCTGCTAACACAAAACGCATTCTTCAGCCCATAGATCAAGGAGTCATTTTGACTTCTAAGTTTTATCATTTAAGAAATACATTTCATAAGACTATAGCTTCATAGCTAGTGATTCCTCTTGTGAATCTGGGCAAAGTAAATTAAAAAACCTCTGGAGAGGATTTATTCTAGATGCCATTATGAACATTTGTGATTCATGATAAGTCAAAAATCAACATGAACAGGAATGTGGAAGTAGTTGATTCAGTCCTCATCAATGACTTAGAGGGATTCAAGACTTCCATGGAGGAAGGAATTGCAGAAGTGGTGGAAACAGCAGGAGAATTAGAATTAGAAGTGAAGCCTGATGATGTGACTGAATTCCTGCAAGCTCATGATAAAACTTGAATGAATGAGGGATTACTTCTTATGGATGAGCAAAAAAAATGATTCTTGAAATGGAATATATTCCCGGTGAAGATGCTGTCAACACTGCTGAAATGACAAAGATTCAGAAGTTTATATAAGCTTAGTTGATAAAGAGCATCAGAAGACTGACTGCAATTTAGAAAGAAGTTCTACAGGTGGGTAAAATGTTATCAAACAGCATCACGTGCTACAGGGAAATCTTTTATGAAAGAAGAGTCCACTTGTGGCAAATTTCATTGTTGCCTTATTTTAGGAAATTTCCACAGTCAGTCCAACCTTCAGCAACTACCACCCTGTTCAGTTACCAGCCATCAACACAGAGGCAAGACCCTCCACCAGCCAAAAGGCTCAGATGGACTGTTAGTACTTGTTGGCAATAAAGTGCTTTTTAATTAAGATATGTACTTTTTTTAGACAATGCTATTGCACAGTTGAGTATAGTGTAAACACAACTTTTAAATGTAATAGGAAAAGAAAAAAATTGTGTGGCTTGCTTTATTGTGATATTTACTTTATTGGGGTGGTCTGGAACTGAACCCACAATATCCTTGAGGTACACCGGTATTAAGAGAAGTCCATTCACAGGATGTCTTCCCTCAATTTGTGGTATCACAACTTAAAGGGCCACAATGATCAGTTGGAGACATGGCTGAGAAAGCTAGAGGTGTCTGATTTGGAGGGTTAAGATGCTAGCTGGTTCGTGACAGTGTTGAGAGGAACACTGGGGCTAGAGAGTGAAAATTACAGCGTTATCATTAGAGCCATTCTGCTCAACCAGAAGGGTTCCAGATCTAAACAGCACCATAAGAGACTACTGGACTTTGTAAGAGAAGAACTCTGCCTTCAGATTGTGTTGCAGAAGAAGTAGTGATCACTCAGAGCATTTAAGGAGAGTTGGTTAAATTACTAATGTGGGAACAACAGTCAGCCAGAAGTGTAAAAGAGATAACAGCTGCCATCACCTGGTTGTTAAGAACAAATTTTAAAAAATACATGTAAGTATGCAGAAAACTGCATAGCAGTGACTCGCTTTCTCTGAGGTATGACATGCAAAGGGCTCCCCTACTTAGGAAACACTAGACAGTAACATATAAAGTGCATTCTGACCCTCAGAGTCTACGATTTCATTGTATTAATAAGCCAAGCTAATTAATTCTGCTTTAGCACAGCATGCAAGCTTTAGATTGTTTTGAATGATGCTGCATACATGGTATCTCCTCTGTTCTCATGGTATATGTAAGAAAAAATCCTATAATGCCATGGAGTTAAATCCTTTAATAGTACCTGATTAAAAATTTTCCTCCCCTTCACTGTTCCTCAGTTGGGTAAGAGGAATAGAGGTATCTGTATGAAAATGAGGCTAATATGTATTCCAGAAAGCTCAAAGAGAATAGGAATAACTCAAAATATGCGATGATTCAGTACAGAAAGCCATTTTTTAAAAACAGAAATGCTCCTATAAGAAGTGAGTAATATGGCCTAATCATACTTCCTGCTGTGATCTGTACTATCTACTGGTAGGATGTTATATGCTTATTCAATTTCCATGTCTTTACACTCATTCTTTGCCATAATAATAAAGAAACTGACTTAAAAACAGAGCATAAGAAACAGAAAAAAACCTCTCATTGAGAAGCTCAGAATCGTAGAGCAGAATCTAGAATAAGTAGAAAAAGGAGTCTGGGCGCAGTGGCTCACACCTGTAATCCCAGAACTTTGAAAGGCCAAGGTGGAAGGTCAACTTGGGCCCAGGAGTTCAAGACCAGGCTGGCCAACAGAGTGAGACCCTGCCTCTAATTAAGTAGGAAAGGGAAAAGAATAGGAAGCAGGGAGGGAGCATGGGCTAAATGGAAAAGGATGCTAATTTCAATTATTTTGACACCTAAGATGGGAGGCAGTTTACAGGGTACAGTTCTTTTCACATGTCTGCGACGGGAACTGTTACATGTGAAGTTTCCAGTCAGTGGCAGACACTGGACGGGACTTGGCTGCTGTGAGGCATGCTTTACCGGGAATGCGTGAATGAGTTTCCCTGCTCTGTCAGCTTCTTTGGGCTTCACACAGTCCACTCACCACTCTTTGAAAAAGAGGTGGTGGAATTGTGGGGCCCTCCTATCTTCAGTCTCTTGCCAGGGCCTTCCACTGGGGGCATCCCGGAGGAACTGAAAGCCCAGGAGGCCAGAGGATGCCAGCTGAGGGACACAGAAGGCAGAGGATGGGGTGGGCAGGGGCTAAGTGCATAGTCACCAGTTCATTTCCTAGACGGATGGGGGAACGGTGGCAAAGGCAGTTAATCAGTTGTACTGTCAATTTCCTATTCTGTAAACTGTGAATACTAAAACTCCTCTCCTGATAGATAAAAAAAAGCCAGTGTGAATCAAATGGAGTTATGCCTGAATGTTTGTAAAAACTTCCCACAATGCTACGTATATGTGTATGTGTCATTTTTTATTCTTCAGTTGTTTACCTATTTGCTATTTTAGGAGAGATTTTTGTTGTTGTTGTGTGTGTTTGTTTGTTTTTGAGATGGAGTCTCGTTCTGTCACCAGGCTGGAAGTGCAGTGGTGCGATCATCGGCTCACTGCAACCTTGCCCCTCGTTACATGGTGAGGCAAGCTATTCTCCTGCCTTAGCCTCCTATCTGGGACTACAGGCATGCACCACCACACCCAGCTAATCTTTGTATTTTTAGTAGAGACGAGGTTTCACCATGTTGGCCAGGATGGTCTCAATCTCTTGCCCCCATGACCTGCCTACCTCAGCCTCCCAAAGTGCTGGGATTACTGGCGTGAGCCACAGCACCTGCCCGGGAGACAGTTTTGAGGAGAGAAAAAAGCGTGATCTAAAGGAATGGATAAAATACTAACTTTAAGAGGGAGAATAATTTTGCTCAGTTTCTTCTTTGATGCGCCATATGGACATTTTTAAAACTGATGGACTATATAATGATTACATGGTGATACTGATTATGAGAAAGACTACCAGATCACTGTGCTTCCAACATTTTAAAAGCTCAAATACTTCATTGGTTTCTCAAGTTCACTAAGACTTAAGCCTTTTTCAACAGAGAGAGGGAGGGAAGACATTCTGCCTAGAAGGAGGGAGCTGGACTTGAGATGTACACAGGACGAATGAGTACGAAAGGCTCCCGAGGCGAGTGGCCGGCGCTTTACGGACTCCCACTGGCTCACAGGTGAGAAGCCCTGCACAGCTGTACCTGTATGTGTCCTCCGGTGAGCCTTCAGGTGAGAACTTTTTGTGTACACTTTGTTGCATCCCTCAAAATCACATCTGTGGATACGCCGTTTTCTGGAGTCTGGGGATTCAGACCGTCTCTGGCGTCTTGTGCTCTCAATACTAAATGGTGAAATTGAACTGGAAAAAGAAAAAGTGGAGTTACATGGTGAGATGCACAGCACCCCATTTTGGCTCTAGTGGCATGGGAGCATTGTCTCAGGCACTACAGCTTCACAGACTCAAGGCCACCATGACCACAGGTCCTGCTACCACTTTCTTGGGCAGATCTCACTTTTTGAATCCTGAAAGGCAGGCAGCCTGAATTATGTCTGGTGAAATACTCCAAGCGAGAGAAAGGCAGGTTTAGAACAACAATAACAACAGCTGAAAGTAAATGACAGCAGTGGTCGGTGAGTATATCCTCATTATCAGAAGAAACAATCTCGTAGGGGTAAATTACCATCTCACAGTTTTGAATTTCTGAATATCCCGATGGAGAAAATCTTAAGAAGCCTTGCTATACACAAATGACAAAGTGACACATTTAATAAGTAACCAGAGGGTCTGCACTGCATATGACAACATATGAACTCCGGTAAAATCACAAGGTACATTTCAAAACAAGTGAGGTCAGGCAGAAAGAAGTGACATCAGTAACAGGAATCATGACGAACTATTTCTGTTTGGTGAAACGCACCTGACATTTAACTTTTCTACTTGCAGTTTCTTTGTGGTGAGGAACAACGTGCACTGTCTTTAAAGATTAGCTGTACCACCATTATTAAAAAAAGTTGTAACTATGAAATGTGGCCCTGACTTGCATGTTGTTTAATCTGAATGCCCCAGTAGAAAAACAGGATTAGTCTGTAACGTCAGGTAATTGATTAACATGTACTTTAAAAAATCTTAATCTCTTTTGATTCAGACAAACAATATGACTCATCTTTTTTAGCTATCCATGACGTTCTTTAAAATTACAGCGAGATACAATTTAAAAAGCAGTCACTCGTATTTCTACTCCACAAAATTTACCACAGTTAATATTTTGACATGTTTTCTTTCAGGTTGTTCACATTTTGATGCTTTTAAAAATTAGTTTTTTTTTTTAAGTAAATCACCTCTTTTAAAAGTTGAAAATTACCGATAAAAATCAATTCCCCCTTGTTTTCCACCATGATCCTGGTCCTTTCTCCTCCTTCCAGGAAAAAGTCTCTATCCTGAGTTTTCTTTACATCTTTCCAATTCTTTTAAATTATGTTTACCTATATATATCTACATTTACAGACATTGATTGTGTGTTTTTAAAGTCAGATGAATAATATCATGCTGTTTATATCATTCTGCAAATTGTTTTATTCCCATTTTTTTATTCAACAGTTAACATTTGAAATTTATGGATATAAATGCCATAATTCACTTATTTGAAGCACTATACACTTACAACTTACCAATTTTAAGATCTTTTAAAAAATATTTTAACCATCTCTAAAATCAGAAAGCTTCTCACAATTGATGGCTTATTATAATTTTACTGGCATAATTTTTTTATTAGTGGTACATAAAGTAATGGGCATTTTACAATTGATGACATTTCAACTTAGATCAGGCGTCAGTGAACTTTTTCTGCAAAGGGCTTGATAGTAAATATTTTACTTCAACACCGAGGGCCACACAGTCTTATAATGTAACTAATCAATTCTACAACTATATCATGAAAGCCAGCTATAGTTTATATATAAACAAATGAATGTAGTTATGTTCCAATAAAACTCTGTTTACAGAAACAGTGGGCAGGCCAGGCACAGTGGCTCAAGCCTGTAATCCCAGCACTTTGGGAGGCTGAGGCAGGAGAACTGCTTGAGCCCAAGAATCTGAGACCAACCTGGGTAAGAAGGAGAGACCCTATCTCTACAAGACAAACAAACAAACAAATCAAGAGTGGGCTGTATTTTCTCCATGCTCTGGAGAAAACTATGCTGTAGCTTGCCGACTATGGAGTTAGATGAAATATGGTGGGTGTCCAGTGAATTTTCATTGCAGAGTTTTAAAAATCCATTTCTCAAGTGATGGACATAGAGATGACTTCAATTTGCACTTTTAAATTGCTCCAGTGAATTTTTTTCTGAAAGTCTCTTTCTGCACACGTGTCTTAAGTTTTCAGCGTACTTTGTCTGTTTTACTAATAAATCAGGCAAACAAAGCTTTATGTTATGTAAGATCAAATATAAATGATATTTATCTACCTGTGTCTCTAACAGTTTATGCAAGATCTGCATTAGTAGAATTAAAGAAAATACGTTACGTATGGCCAAGCCACTTTTTTTTTCAGCTTTCTTATCAATGTGGATTTGTGGTTTTTCACATAATTGACTCACAGTTACAGGGATTGAAGTCTGTCATGAAAGGAGTCAAAACAGTGTGACTGGCCTGCCTCATGTAAGAACAGCTGTAGTCACTCCGGACAAGGTACATTTTTATCACTGGGTTTGATTCCCATGAACAAGTAAGACTGTGAGGCGATAAGAGAGCAACAGTAATTCATTTCTGGAATAGGTAGTCATGGAAATAAATATTGATTTTGGTACTTCCTTTCTTTTCCTGAAGAAAAGGAAGTCATTCATAGTGTTGTACAATATTTAACATCTTTTAAAAGTGAGAAAATGATATAGTATTTGTTTACCTGCAAGTTATAACGTAAAGTCTATAATAAGAACAGTTTTGTATAATGCTTTCTACACATGAATATGTAGAAGTCTAAATGTATGCATAAACCCATACATACAGGTTTTTGCTGAGTTTCATTGATTTTAGCTATTTATCTTGCTATTGGTATATATGGAGAAAAGTTAAAGAAAAAAAAAAAAGACTAACAACCAAAAAAGAACGCCTGAAATCAGAACTCAGCCAATAGCGAATGTTTCTTTAGGGACGAATGAAGTAATCCTGCAACACAGCCCATCAACCACTTAAATATACGGCAGGCAGAGAAACAAAAGCAAAGGCTACGTAACGCCATGAAATTGCTTCACTGTCAATTTTGAATTTACATCAAAATGAAGACAGGTGGATTGTCTTAATGCTACAGGACCTCATTGCTGGTTTTCCTCATTCTAAAATGAAATGTTGGCCGGGTGTGGTAGCTCATGCCTGTAATTCTAGCACTTAGGGAAGCTGATGCAGGTGGATTGCTTAGCTCAGGAGTTCAAGACCAGCCTGGGCAACATGGTGAAACCCCGTCTCTACCAAAACATACAAGAATTTGCCGGGTGTGGTGGCTCATGCTTGTAATCCTAGCATTTTGGGAAGCTGACGTAGGCAGATCCCTTGAGCTCAGGAGTTCAAGACCAGCCAGGGCAACATGGTGAAACTCTTGTTTCTACAAAAACATACAAAAATTAGCTGGGCATGGTGGCACATGCCTGTAGTCCCAGCTACCTGGGAGGCTGAGGTGAGAGGATTCCTTGAGCTGGGGAGGCAGAGGTTGCAGTGTGCCAAGATCACGCCACTGCACTCCAATCTGGGTAAAAGAGCGAGAGACCCTGTCTCAAAGAAAAAGAAGTGAAGTGAAATGTTTTAGAACACTGTGAAGAACAAATACCTAAAGGTATCTGTATAAAGATAATTTTTAAAAAGGATATATGCAATGAATAATTGTACCTAGTAAAGCTGGCTTTGAAATGATATTCAATGGGTAGATTTTTCCCCTTGGTTCCCCTTTCTAAAAGGCAGAGATATCCTCAGATGTCAAAGAATCCTGAGCTAAGCTCTGCATTTCAGAACTGCAGAGGTGATCTCTTTGTGGAAAGGTAGGAAGGTTAAGTGAAGCTGAGATAAAAGGGAACCAGAAGTGCAGAACCTGAAGAACACAGGAAAAGGAGAGGTCAGTCCAAGCTCCAAGAGCATGCTGTTGTGTTGGGATCCCCAGCATAAATCCACAGTTGGCGAGCACTGTAGGTGGAGACAACCATGGGCTGGGGGTTTGTCTGAGCCAAGTCCATGGTTGGAAAGGTGATAGTCGAGGTACTGCTATCAAGTAATTTTGTATTTCTAGAACCTAGGACATTGTGGGCATTCAAAAAAAAAAAAAAGATGTTTGCTAAATAGAATGAATGAAGGCATTAAGCCTGGTATTCCTGATTTTTAATTTTATAATTAACTTATTCTTAATCGTAATTAATTCTTACTAGGATCCTTTGATTGTAAGTCTTCAGACAATGGGCACTCAATTCCACACTCCTACACCCATTTCCCTGAGTTTCTTTTTTTTTTGACACAGGGTCTTAGTCTGCCACCTAGACTGGTGGGTGAGGTGGCATGATCATAGCTCACTGTACCCTTGAACTCCTGGACTCCAGTGATCCTCCCACTCAGCCTCCTGAGTAGCTAGGATTACAGGTACACGCCACCATGCCTGCCTAACTTTTAAATTTTTTGTAGAGATGAGGTTTTACTTTGTTGCCCAGGCTTATCTTGAACTCCTGGCTTCAAATGATCCTGCCCCAGTCTCCCAAAGTCCTAGGATTATGAACCACCACAGCTGGCTGAGTTTCATATTTTCAGTGCTACACAAAGTGGCTAGTGACTATCAGGGAATCTGGATAACCATTAAAAACACATAGATATAAATGTGTTTCCTTTAAGTTCTCTGCTTTCCTTTAAGTTCTCTGTGTTTCTCTGCTATTTCCTTTAAGTTCAAGAGCAGGGCATTCTAAAGCATTGCCTACAATTAAAATTTTCAGTGGGAGGCCACTGATAAATGTGTAGGATGCTGGTGACCCAAAGAACAATAGTATTTCTTTTGACCCTAATACGCATCTAGGTAAGTTGGAAAAGTGAAGGAAAGACCCTTACTGCAATATTATCTTGCCCCATCTCACTCAGAGCTGCCCATAAGAATGGGTGTTGGTTACAGAACAGCTGTCATGACACTGGGTGTTTTCACTCTGCCTTACCTATGCTTTCTGAGCAACATGCCCTTTGTTTAGAAAGTACTTGAAGAATCCTCACAGGCATGAAACCTGACTCCTGTGCTTCAAAAACTGGCCTTATTTTACAGAATGAGAATTGCAAGTAACTACTGCAAACACCAGTAGCGCATTCTTCAAATAATCTTTAGTAATAAGCTCGGGATGATGAAA